GCCGCATACAGCGCCTCCCGCCCTGCCGCTGGCCGCGCGAGCAGCGCGCCGCCGCCGCCCAGCCGCGCCGCCCGCAGGCCGCCGCCCGCGACGCGCGCCGCGGCGCCGAGCAGCGGCAGCAGCTGGCCGCGCGCAGAGGCGAGCAGCAGGCGCAGCAGGCGCCAGCCGGCAATGTGGAGGGCGGGTTGCTGCAGCAGCAGCTCGTGGAAGCGCGACGCGGATAAGGGCACCGCGCCCGCCGCGGCGGCGGCGCCGGCGTCCAGCGACACGAGGCGCGACGACAGCGCCAGCACCTGGAAGCCGGGCAGGGGCGCAGCTGCCGGGTAGCTGCCGGTCAGCGCCGCCTCGAGGGCCGACAGCAGCGCGCCGAGCAGCGCGCCCGCCGCCCGCTGCTGCGGCGCCTTGCTCGCGCCGCCGGTCGTCGGCTGCTCCGACTCCCAGGGATACTCGGGCATCAACCCCATGTGCTCCTGCTGCTGCTGCTGCTGGCCTGCCGCCGCGCTGCCAGGCCGCGCAAGCAGCGCCCGTGCGTGCGGGTCCGCCTGCGGCCCCTCCAGCCCCATGGTCATGAAGTCCAGCACCGCGTGGCACGACACAAGCAGCCCCCGCGCGCCCTCGCTCCACGCCGCCGCATCGCCCGCTAGCCGCGGCAGCAGCGCGACGCACGCGGCGGCGCGCGCGAGCAGCGCGCGCGCCTGCGCGCCTGGCGCGCCCGCGGGCGCTGCACCCACGGCGGCGGCGGCGGCGCGGAGCAGCTTGGGCAGCTGCGCCGACAGGGCTGCCTGGTGCTGCCGCAGGCTGGCGGGCGCGACCTCCATCAAGAGCCGCAGTAGCTCAAGCGCCTCCGCCGCCGCGCCGCCGCCGCCTTCAAGCGGCGCGCTCAGGACCGGCAGCAGGAGCTGGAGCGCACGGGAGACGCCGGCCACCGCCTCGCGGCGCACGCCGGGCAGCTCCATGAGCGGCTGCAGGCGGCGGTACAGCGACGCGAGGGCGCGGCACGCCGCCGCGGCTGCCCCGGCGGGGGGCGCGTCGGCGCGGGCCGGGGCCGCGGCGTTGGGCTGCTTGGTGCAGGCGCGGCGCAGGGCCTCCCCGAGCAGGGGCACCCACACGGGCAGGCGGTGCAGCAGTGCGGCCGTGTCGCAGCCGTCGACCACGGCCGCCAGCAGCGTGAGCGCTCGCGCAAGGTCGTCCCCCTGCAGCGCAAAACGGGGGTCCAAGTGAGACAAGGCACGCTGTTCCGCATAATTCCCTGCAAAGCCGATCCGGGAGTGGCGCCCATTCAAGGCGGCGCAGCTCAGGCGGCACGCCGCCACCGGCCACTGCAGACGCACCGACGCTTTAGCCACCGTCTGTGATGCCGCATCCATGAATTCAGCCACCACATTGCCCCTTGTCGCCGCTTGCTGCCCGATACAAGCCGATTCGTGTAGGAGCGGCTGCGATCTGAGTGCCTGCGCTATCTCTTTGGCATCACGAGTATTGCCCTTGATCAACGACGCAGTCCAGGCCGGTAGCAGCGCCTGGCTCGCCCCATGGTCCATGATGCCGCCGGGACTGGCCGAAAGGGCCGCCTGCAGTACTGCAACACCGTATCTATGTTATGATACCAGGATGAGCAATTGTAAGAGTATGGTAAAGCACTAGTACACCCGCACGAGTCACCCATACCTTCACCTGCACGAGCAGCTGTTTTTGGCGGTCGAGCTCGCTCTCTTGCCACCATAAAGCGTCGCACCTCCAAACAAGCACAACACTGCACAAGTCTCGGCCACGAAGCTCGTGCCGCTGGCGACGGCAAGCAGCTGCTTGCCGCATACAGTACTCCGCTGCACCGCCGCCGCCACCCCTAGCAGAACGCCGGGCCCTAGTGCCCACAGCATGGCACAGTTGCAGCGGCCAGCGCTCGAGGGTGTGGAGCAGCCCCAACAAAGTCCGGCACAGCAGCAGCCACAGCAGCAGGACCAGCAGCAGGCGGACGAGGCTGGCGCGAGGCACGACGGCGAAGAGCCGCCGCCACCGCAGCAGCCGAGCCCTTGCGGCGTGTGCGATCAGCAGCCCTACAAGTACCGCTGCCCAGGCTGCGGCGTCCGCAGCTGCAGCGTTGAGTGTGTGCGGCGCCACAAAGACGACACGGGATGCAGCGGCAAGCGGGACCGCCTGGCGTTTGTGCCGCTCAGCGAGTTTGGTGACCGCGAGCTCGTCTCAGGTGGGCCATCCAGGCTTCCATTTGCCATGGTCACGCCGCAGCTGCATGCAGCGCTTCCGCACGTGATGCTCCCCTCCGCTCCCAGCAGAAGCGGGGCTGGCGCCCGCCCGGCGCGCAAGCACAGCCCGCGCCGCCGCCCTCACAGCCGCGGTGCCAGGGCGCGCCCTGGCGGCGGCGCACGGGCGAGGGGCGGCGAGGCGCCTGGAGGCAGCCCGGTCGTCACCTCTGCCGCCCTGCCTATTCACCCTCCTTTGAACAACAACGACTGCGCGCAGCCACGTCATCGGCATGCTCGCTCTCCGCGCTGCAACCCCCCCTCCCCAGACTACAAGCTACTGGAGGAGGTCTCCCGAGCCGACGACAACGCGCGCCGCCACCGCCCGCCCGCGCCGCGGCCGCAGCTGCCGCAGGCGCTGTCGGGCCTGATCCACCAGGCGCGGCTGCGCGGCGTTCGGCTCATGATCATGCCACCAGGTGGGGCAGAGCGCCGCGCGGGGCGCTGGATCGCCAATTGCCTCTTATCAGGAAGGACAGTACCGTATTTGAATGCGCGAGCAGCGCACGTCGAACGCCTTGTGCCCCTTGCACTGCGGGCTCCTGGGGATGCTGCGCGTGACCGGCTTAGTGGCGTGCCGCTCGCTCGAGGGGCCAGCCTTGCAGCAACAGCGCTGGCACGTGCGAGTCCGCCGCTGAACAACCCCGCAGGCATGCAGCGGCGGCGCGACAGCACGACCTATTACAACTTTCGTGCCCGCAAGCTGCTGTGGCGCGTGGAGTGGGTGTTTCCCGAGGCTGACCCCGAGGCGGCCGCCGCGGCCCAGGCGCAGGCCCAGCAGCAGCAGGAGCAGCAGCAGCAGCAGCAGCAGCAGCAACAGCACCGGCAGCAGCACCCGCAGCGGTGGCAGCCGCAGCAGCGGCCGGGGCCCGCTTCGCCTGTGTCGGCGGCGCACGCAAAGGAGCCAGCAGCCGCGGCCGGCGGCAGGGGCCTGGTGCTGGTGGATGCGCGGGTCGACGAAGAGCGCCCGCTGCGGCCGCTGCTCGAGGCGCATCTGGCAAACGCGCCAGGCGCCGGCGCTCGGCAGCTCGCGTTGAGAGCGTATGTCGAGGCGGTCGCGGCGCGCGGCGGGGACGCGGGTGCTCTCCCTGTGCTGATGCGGCAGGAGCACTGCCCGGTGAGCTACTGGCTGGCCGGTGTCAAAATGTGAAGGCAACCCACTCTGCATGAATCGAGCGCCGCCGTCCTGCGCGTCCCATCAGCCAAGCAGAGCGGAGGCTGCACCCCCTGTCATTCCAAGCCCGCAGCCCGCCTCAACTCCCCCGCCCTCACCTCCTTTTACTCGCCATGCTCTCCCCTCTTGACCCCGTCCCCCTTGCCTCGCATTCTCCAAAGGCCAACGCGCCGCGCTACTACAAATTGGACGTGGACGCTTCGCTGAGGTCGCAGCTGGCCGGGAAAGCGATCATAGAGTTCCCGACGCTCATCGTGCTGCTGCCCGGTCAGGAGGGCAGCGAGCGCTACCCACTTGTCCCGGCAGCCGAGGCCGCCGAAGAGGTGGGCGGTGGCCGGGTTGATGGGGAGGCCGGGCGGCCGGCCAAGGCCGCGAGGCACGCGGGGGCGCCGCAGCTCGCGCTCCGTTACCCGCCGCCGCCGCCGCCGCCGCGGGTGAATGGCGCACAGCAGCAGCAGACGCAGCAGCAACAGCAACAGCAGCAGCAGACGCAGGAAAATGACCAGGAGCAGCAGGAGCAGCAGTAGGAGCAGCAGCAGGAGCAGCAGGAAATCCACAGCAGCCAGGCGCATAGGCTCGACCATCAGCCAGCTTGGCACCTCGCCAATTCTGCTGGTCTTGTCACCCACGCATAAACACGTGTCGGAATGTCCAGGCATGCACGCATGCTTTTGTTTGCACATTCTGTAAGTCCGTTTTACTGCAAGTGGGCTCTATCTGGTGCATGCAGAGCGCCGCTGTTGCAACGTGTCACAGGAGCTCCAGGGCCAACTGCACCCATACGGCATGCGCACGGGACGCCGTCCATGTGACGGCGTCCCGTGGCGTCCATGTGACGCCGTCCATGTGACGGCGTCTTGTTCTCATATCGACCTCAATTGCGCCCTGACATTACATAACGGTATACTGGTAGCATTCCTGCATCCGCTGGTGTTGGATGCTACGGCAATGTGTAAGCTACCTCTCAAGTGCCACAACCCCCAGCGATGCGTGATGCCTCTGGTCGAACAGCCCTGCGGCCCAGCCGTGGACCTCCGCCGTGCCGCAGGGTGGCAAAACAATCCCCTACTAGGCTTATCACCTGCGGTTTAACGTCTTTTGCGCCCTGCAGCTTGTTGCGACCATGCTGCTTATCCCCACTTCGCCTTACCATTGGGGTGAACCACCAGGCCAGCCTCAAACTGGCTGTGTTGTGCGAATGGCACGGGTGATGCAAAGATAGGTCCGATGACTTGAAACAATAGAGACAGGGTTGGATGGGATCGAATAGATCGAACAGGAGCGTGTTTCATCGCTGCCAACTCTTCACGCAGGTGCACACTCAAAGGAGTGCGCTGATCTTCAAGGGACCATGTTGTGGCTGGAATATCATCCTGCCTAGGGAATCCCACCTGGGCTCTAGAGGTGGGCAGGCCATCTTGGCCTAGCACGCGGCACATGCTGGGGCGAGGCGTCCTGAAGATTATTGCACGACCGCAGACTTTGCGTTGACCGCGTTGCAGCCAAAGGTTGACCGCAAGTCGCACGTAGCAACCTGGAGGTGTTCAAGATTCCAGCGATTCAAGAGTATTCGTGAGAGAATCCATGCATCCCAGCACCTCTGGGCTGCCGAGCGCGCGTCGAGTCACCAAGCGCAGCCTGGAGCGACTGTGCCGGGTACTACCGTACTGTACTCTGCCCCGCAGCACTTTGCTGGTGCAGGGCGTGTGCGCAAGCGATGTGTACAAATAGACCAGATTGACAAACTCTGGGTTCATTGGATCATAGCAACACAGAACGAGCTGGTGGCCGTTGGGAAGTGTCGCATGCGAACCTGAAAACCGTGTGAAGACCAGCAGCATCAAAGGCGGGTGCTGGACACGTGCGATCATACATACTGTTGTAAGCGCGCTGGCACACACAACAAACACCTGTCTTATTGAGAGGCCGCAGCCATCATGTCGATCTGCAGCATAACTGGCATCGTCTGCCCCGGTGTCAGCAAGTCGCGGGCAGCGGGGCGCCCCATAGGTTTGGCTCCTCGTGTCGTCAGGTGTGGAACGCGGTCGCCCCGGGCCACGCTGGCTTCGCGCTGTCAACGTGGCATGCAGCAACGATGCAACTGGAAGCCCTCGCCGCCCATCGCAGGCATACTGCAGACGCGCGTGCTGCTATCAGCAGCAGCCATGCCTCAAGCAGCGGCCGCAGCGTCAGGTATGACTGGCATTTAACGCCCCCGGGAAGGGCCTTTTCGGAGCACAGGGCGATCTCACCGGAAGCCCTGTTCGCGTAGCTGGTTGAGGTATGCTTCGATCATTGTTTTGCGATAAACGATTGCATCGGGATGGCTTCGCAGGGCTGCTGTGAGCACCAACGGCGCACCTACCGCCGCACCCGACGCGGCGATCCCCAAGCCTGTCGTGAAAATCGACAACATCCGGGATCCCTTCGCCACTGTGGTGACCGTGGAGGTGTGTATTGCTTGCTATGGCGGCGTAGCAGTGGCCGCGTGGCAGCATTAGCAAGTGTGGCGCAGCACACAGGCATTCCGCCGGGTTGCTGCAGCTAGCGGCGAGCTGCTCAGACGCCACAGTCGCATGCGGCGGAGCGCATCCCACCCTGCCGAGCAGCAGGCGTGCAATGGCGCTCCTGCAGGTGGCCAGCCCCGCTGCCCTAGCATGGGGGCCACAAGGCCGGCGACATGTACAGCGTGGCTGCATGGGGCTGCTGCTTGGTTGTCTTCACCCGCCCTGCCCCACCTACCTCGCACCCGCGCCGCGCCCCACTGCGCCGCAGTTTGGGGACCGCCTGGGCGAGCTGCTGGACACGGTGAGCGTGCTGCCACTCCAGTGCCACAACTGCACCGCTGGCTGCATTCCATCTGCAATCTTGCACTGCTGGCAGTGCCTTCCATCCTATGGGCGCTGCTGGGACTCGCCACCCTGTCTGTTTTTGTGGGTTCATCTAAAAGGCGCCCCTAACGCACTGCTGCAGATCACGTCCCTCAAGAACTTGGGCTTGAACATCCGCCGCGCGAAGCTGGACGGCGCGCCCGGGCGCAAGTCCAACACCTTCTACATCACAGACGCCACCACCAGCGAAAAGATCACGCGCAGCGCGCAGATCGAGGAGATCCGCATGGTGCGGGCGCCTGATTGTGGGCAGAGTCTGATCTGGGGGGCGCGGGGTCCCGACCACAGTCTGGGGGTTGACTTAAGTTTGGGTCCCAAGCCGGGGCGGTGCGGAAGGAGTGCTGTGGCAGCTGTGAGGGGACACAGCTTGGGTGGGTACGGCCGGCGCTTGGGCGCGCTGGCGTGGGGGCGAAGCGGAAGCGGGCAGCGTCTGGTGCGGCGGGGCTGGCCAGCCAACAGAGACACCCGATGTCTCACATGCGAGGAGGCGCGTAGACCGCAGCATCAGCAGGCGCAGCAGCCGCGCGAAGCACCGCGCGGCGGCGGGCCCCCAGCATGGGCTGCTGGCATCGCCTCCCGCACCCTTGCCCTGCCAAACACCGCACCCCCTGAACTCCTGCCCCCGCCCCGCAGACCATCATCAACAACCTGCTTTACTACCACCCGGTGCGTCTTGCCTGACGCTGGCCCTGTGCATGGGGGCTACTTTTGGTCTGGGATGTGGTGTTCGCAACCCCTCGTGTACACCCCAGGACTTTCTTGGTGGCAGAGCGGGGGCGTTGCTACTCGCAGCCAATGCGCCTCACCGCTCCGAAGCCACAGCAGGCCAACGCGCGCTTCCGACGAATTCGCGCCCCCGCCCCGCAGGAGTCGTCCGAGGCGCTGGCCGCCGGGCAGCCCGCGCGCTCCTCGTCGCGCGACTCGACGTCCCCCCTCGGCCCCAAGGCGCGCAGCGTGGTGCAGACGACCATCGAGGTCGCGGAGGCGGACAACGGCAGCTGCTCGGTCTGCAAGATCTCCACGCGCGACAGGTGCGCCCGCGCGGCCCCGCGCCCCGCCGCCACCCATCTGCGACACCAGCCACACACCGCACATCCTACCTCACGGGCCCCCGCACGTCCTGTGCGGCGGCACCCCAGACTGCCTGCTCCCCTGTGTTGCTCTCTCCCGCTCAAATCGACCAACCCCAATTTGCTCATCATCATGTCGTCGATCAACGTCGTTCCGCACACCCCCTCAGGCCCGGCCTGCTGGTGGACGTCGTGAGTGTCCTCAAGGACATCAACGTGAACGTGGTCAGCGCGGAGATTGACACCTTTGGCGACGAGGCGCGCGACGAGCTGTTTATCACGTACCACGGGGAGCCGCTGCCGGGGCCCATGGTGCAGCTCGTGACCAACGCGCTGCAGGTGGGGCGCTGGGGCGGCGGCGGCTGGGGGCTGGCTGCTGCGAATATATGAGGGTCACACGGCGTAGCCGGAGGGGGATTTACCGTTGGGGCCGTTTGTGGTGCAGCGAATGCACGCCTTCTTTGCTCGCGGCCCGCGCTGACGCGAGTGCCATGTAATGAGTATGTAAGTGTCGCACCTCCCGCCGCCGCCCCTGCTTCGCAGTACTACCTCTCGCTCGCTGAGGTGGAGAAGGAGGAGAGCTACTGAGCAGCCGGCGAGCAGCTGCCCGGCGCGGCCCTCGGCGGGGCGGCGCGCCGCAGGGGTGCGGCCTTTGCCGGCCGCGTCCGAGCCGCGGCCCCCTGGTCATTCTGGGGCTTCCGTCCGCCACCGGCATGCCGGCAGCGACAACGCATCAGAGCGCCAAGTCTGGTGCGCAAATCAGAGCCCGTCACTCATGATCCTACCTATTTTAGATTCACCCAGCACCCTCAAGCAGTCACCTCACACAACCCTCCCCCAAAACCACAGCTTGCTTGGATTGCTGCCCTTCAAACTGCGCTCTAGCGTGCCAGGCTGCCAGGGCGTTGCCACACCAGCATGGTTCTGGGAGGGCCGGATGGGAATGGGACACACGCCAACACGTGCACGGGCCAAGGAACGGCCAAGCCTCCCATGCTGTTGATGCCGCTGCAGCTGCCGGCCCCCACCGCCGCCGACTGGCGTCCGCTCGCAACCGTGGCAGCGGCGGGTGCTCGGGTGCGCAGGGGCCAGTCGTGGCACGCGTAGGGTCTTGCGCGCTGCGCGCTTTGTACCGTCAAGGAGCGCCCGTGTCCCCTGCGCCAGTGTCTCTTGTCTTCATGCTCTGGACGGGGAGCCGAGCGCCGCTCCGCGCTGCGCTGCGGGGCGCCTTGGCCGCAGGGCGTTCCAAACTGCTATGCACCGCGTTTGCTTTCACTCTTCTTGAGTGAGCAAGTCCTGGCCCATGGGCGGCTGCAGTGCGCTGTAATATCGATTGCGCATGGGCCTCGGGGGCAGGCAGGGTGCGGGGCTAGGGACTGCGGCGTGTGAGGTGCAACAGCGTGGCTCTCGAGGGGCATCAGGGTGGCTCTTGCTGCCAGGTGCGCCTGACTGGTAGCAGTGGAGCAGCACAGCATCATGGCGGGCCCAAGCGTGCCTGGCCCCAGTCATCGCATCTTGACGGCAGCAATCTGACCATTCACGGGCCCACACACTGTTGGCTGCACGGGCGACCAGTCATGTGTCTGCGGCAGTTCCGTGGGCGCAATGATGGGGCGCGAGGTCGCCGACGGCGGCGATGCCACTGCTCTGCAGGCGAATGCCTCCGCTCTGACTCGTCAGGGGCGGCCCATTGGCGCACGTGTTTTATCATGATAGCCATGCATGGGTCACTGAAGATCCAGGGCCTCCAGGCAGAAAAGTGCCTGGACATCCTGCATGATGCAGCGCCCGTGGCCGTTGGCCGCTTGGCCCTGTCCCTGTGTTGTTAGACAGCAGGCGTGCAACATGTGAAGCATGATCAAGACCTCGCGCATTTCGGAGTGTAGGGACGCGCTGCAATGCGGTCGACATGCTCATGGGTGTGCAACCGCACCTAGGAGCAGGAGCAGGCGAGGGGGCACCCAGGTCACCCGTCAAAGCGCCACCTGGACGATGCGAGTCGAGTCCCCGAGTCAGCGGCCGCCTGCACGAGCCTCAAGCTGCATATGCTCGCCGACAGTCTGAACTCTTCATCCGACGTTGGAAGCTTCATTATTCAATCAAAAGCCGACAAATACGCCGAAAGGACTCGGTTAGTCCTCCTGGCGTGCCCTACCCAGCGTATCGTCCACGCTGAGAACCGGCAGTCCACAGGATAGCAACCATGTTCCTCAGGCACCTGCGCAGGAAGCGCGCGGAGGCGGAGAACCAGGCCGCTGGTGGTGAGCGCGGCAGGGTGGCGCCCTGCATAATTGTTTATGCCGATCTTATACTGCTTTATGCCTCCCTGTGGGCGTCAGCTGTCACGGGGCTGCACCTTACGGAGATCGTTTGGCGTTGATCTGTCTCCATGCAGCATTTTCATGACTCCTTGACGCATTGATTGATTGCTCCATATGTTGTAAACACACGTACATGGTCTTCGCGCGCTGAGCACGCACCTTGTGCGGCTTTGCTGCTGCGCCAGGCGTACACGCGCGCGCACAACAGCAATGGTCCCCATCAATGTGCCATCAACCCCTGCAGATGCCAAGCCCGAGCCCCTCAACCAGTCTCTGGGTATGTGGGGCAGCATCACTCGGTCCCTGACGAGCAAGAGGAGCGTGACGACCACGATTGACAAGGTGGGGCGACGCATCATCCCTCTTGCCCGTCAGGCCCCCTGAGCCAGTGCAAGCCGTGACACCGCACGCGCCAGGACTGCCATCCTCAAGTTATGCCTGGACTGCTTGATATTCTGGCCATGGGGAGGGGGAGTGTGGGAGCGCTTGACGCCTGGCTGATGAGGGCACTCCCATCCCCTCCTCGGCAACCTTTGGTGACACCCCTACTTTGAGGCAACCCCTCCTCAATTATTTCATGTCCCTTTGCTGAATCTCAACCAGAGAAATCGCAGACCTGGGGGTTCTCCCCTGCATGTAAGCGCCCCGCCGCGTCGGCCCCGTCACCGCACCCATGGCCCCCATGTACCCGCACACCCTGCAGGACCAAGCCGCGACTGAAGCCGCCCCTGCGCCGGCCGCCAAAGAGGCCGCCCCCGCGCCGCCCGCGGCGGCTGTGGAGGCCGGCGGGGTGCCCGCGAGCTACCCCGGGTTCACCCCATTTGTGGCCGGTGTCGCGAAGGTGGGCAGGACGGTTGGGTTGGGGGGGCCTGTGACGCCACCATCGGCCCCCCATCCCCCAAAATCTGCATGGCCTGGCAGCCCGTATGTGGCGTGCAGTCACGTCGATACGGCGCAGCGCTGCTGATAGAGCGCAGGCATATGGTGACAGCACGGCAGGGAAGGGCGTCGACCTTGTAGGTTTTGCTCGCATGTTGCGCTTCGGACGGCAGCACCGGTTTGCTGCCCGGCCTTGTTTGGCAGCGGGGGAAGGGGAGCTATACGGGGACGCAGCGACAGCGGCAGCGGCAGCACGCTGAGAGCTGCAGGCACTGGCTGGCGCGACGGAGGCGGCGGCAGCGGCAGCGCGCTCGACTTGGGGCTCCCCGCCGCCGCCCTCGTCCTACCACCCATGCAGTACAAGGAAATGTACCAGCGGTCCATTGAAGACCCCGATGGCTTCTGGGCCGACATCGCATCGGAGTTCCATTGGGAGAACAAGGTGCGAGGGGGGTGGGAAGGGGGACGGGGCTCGCGATCTAGGCCGTGCGGTGGCGCCCAAAGTGTGTCGTGTGGGCGGCTGGGAGGGTGGCGCGACAAGGGGCGCTGCCATGGAACCACCGGCGCAACTCGAGGCCTCCGACTGCTGCCGGGCATCGGTGCGCGCCACCTCCACCGCCTCTTCCCGGCACATGCACTAATCCAAAACGCATGCCGCCGCCCCTCAACCGCCGATCGGATCCTGAATCCCTAGTGGGACGAGAAGCACGCGTCCTGGAATTTTGATGTGCGCAAGGGCCCGATCTACGTGAAGTGGTTCACAGGGGGCACCACCAACATTGCATACAACTGCCTCGACAGGTGGGGGGGGGGTTGTGTGGGTTGGGGTGGGGGAGAAGAGGGCGTGGGTGTGCTTGCAGGCATGCATGGGCCGTGTGTGCGTGCGTGCGTGTGTGTGCGTGTGTTGGCGCGTGTGTGCAAGGTTGTGGGTGGGTGGGTGCATGGGTGGGTGTGCCAAGTGACTTGTGCGTGCAGCTATGAGAGAGAGAATGTATAATCCAGAGAGAGTTAGAAGCAAAAACAGAATGCATGTGCGCATGTGTGTGTGTGTGTGTGTGTGCGCGCGCGCGTACGTGCATGGGTGTGCGTGTGTGTGTGTGTGTATGCGCGCGCGCGTGCTCACGCGCGTGTGGGGCGAGTGGCACACACCTGTTTGCATGACAGCCGCAAAGCACGGCCGGAGCCGCAGAGTGCGCCGGCTGGCCGCGTTCGCCCGCTCGACGCCCTTGTCGCCGTGCCGCACCCTGCGTGGGCCCTCCCGCTCCCGCCGGCCCCAGGCATGTCCAGGCGGGCAGGGGGGACGTGCCCTGCTTCCTGTGGGAGGGCAACGAGCCCAAGGACTCGACAGTCATGACGTACAAGGAGGTGGGCGCTCCGCCTGGGGTATATCTGGGGTGTTGAGAGGAGGGCGAATGGCGGGGGGGGGGGTGGGGGCTGGGGCGGTCGCGACGTTCAAGGATGTGGGCACTTGCCTTGGCCGTTCTTGGG